CAAAGCAAAATGAAAAAACATTAAGAATCAGGGTTTAAGAACAGGGTGGGGCAAAAGTAGGTTTATAGTTTTGAGTATCCAAATTCTATCCTTGCATTAGTATTTACTACAGGCCCAGTGCACAAAATTTGTGCATAGAGGATTCAGGGGGTTTCTCAGCCCAACCTGCACCCTCTCTAATCCGAGAGTCCTCAGGGGATGTCCTACTGACTGCTTAGGCCCACTCCCCGTGGTTCTCTGCTATCTGCGGAGCCTGCTTGGCTGCTCCCAGGTCACTGCGGCAATGACCAAGCAGGCCCTGCTCTCAGAGGACGCTCTCCAGGACTGGAGGACTCCAGCAGGGCTGAGAGGACTGGGCGTTGCCATCTTCTGGCTATGGGCGCCGCTATCTTTGTGTCAGAGTGATAATTAATTTGCATATTACTTTTTTATTAGATAAGATTAATTGTCATATTATTTTCTAGAACAATTATAAACCTACTTTTGCTTCACCCTGTATTTCCAAAATAAAACTAACATACTTTCAGGCACATTCCCTCTTCACCACAACTGTACCTTATCTAATGGCAATTATTAGCCTCTTCTGTGCAGAGACAGCTATGCTTACCAGTTATGCTCACCAACTGCTCCATATGTCCCCTATAGTGCCTAGATTCTTCGCAATTAGGTGAGGTCATAGGACTGATATGGTCACTGGCCAATGAGCAGACTCACTGAAGGTCAGGAATGAGTTCTCCTGCAGTCTTTCTCCCACTCCCCCATCATGAACACCAAGGACTTGTGTTGAAATAGTGGATCTATAAGATCAAAGTAGCCTAAAGAAATAAATAAACCACATGAATGGAAGCCCTGGGAGTTGCCAGTACCAACAGAAAGCTTTACTGAATAAGAAATAAACTTTTGCTGTTAAACAAAATTGTTGATCTGCTGTTAAATAAACTTTTGCTGAAATAACTCACCCTATCCTTATATACCATTTCATTAAACAAAAATCGTTCTGAATCTTCATAATAAGAGTTTAATAAGATTGGTTTGCATTCATTTGGCAAATAATTACTGACCACTGCTATTGTTTGGCATTGCTGCAGGTGCTGAGAATACCAGGATGAATAAGACAGAGTCCCTGGAGCTTTAAGGAACTTACTGTTTTACCCAGATGACAGGCAATGACATTTTCAGGTAGTGATAAATGCAACAAAGACATCAAGATCTTGCCCAATTTCATTGTGTCTTTACTTTCCTCCTTACTCAACTCAGATTCTATGCACCATCATGTTCATTGTCCTGCCCATATATCACCTCACTTATGCTTCTCTCATCTTCATACTTGCCTGGCAAAATCCTAACCTGATTAAACCCAAACCTTTGCCATCTTCACATCTCCTCCTGGGGAGCTGAATATGTCTGGAGAAAAACAATAATCCTAACTGGTCTCACTTGGACTTCATGGTCACTATTCCCACTGGGTGCACCTGGCAGCTTCCTGACAACCATATTACATCCCCTGATCCATCCATCCCCATTCTCCTACCAAACTCATGTGTCCTTTCTCCTGAAACTTGCAACAGTCCTCTCCCACACTCACTCATTGACAATGATTTTGCTCCTGACTTCACTGAAAAACTTAATGGACTTCTAAAACTTCCACCACATCTCCCAAAACCCACATAGTGAGGGTACACATATACTCCGTGTTTAAAACTGTCCCTGTTCCTTCTAAGGACAATTCCTCCACTTGTGCACTAGATTCTGTCACCTCTCATCTCCTGTGGGAAACATGGAAATGTGCCACCCAGATCCCCCTTCCAAGGCCCAGTTACAGAGCCTGCAGTCAGGAGCCTCCATCTGTCAGCTCCTTCAGGGTCTGCTATGGCTGTGGAGTCACTGCGTCTGAGGTCATGCCCTTCCTGGGACAGCTTGCATGCAGTAAGCAAGGTTGGCATATAAAAGCCCAGCCAGGCAGAACACTCAGAAGAAAGAATACTCACTCCAGAGCTTCCACAGGGCTGGCGGGAGCTTTGTCAGATCTGATTCACAGTTGGATTTCTTCCTCTGTACAATCCTGCTTCCTTCCCCCTTTGTTTCACAGGAACTGATCCCTAATAAATTTCTAGTTCCTCAAATTCTGCTTCAGCATCTCCTTAGAGAACCCAACTTGACATATCTACTGTAGGTCGCTCAGATCCAGCTGTTGCCCGGCTCCATCTTTCATCAATGTTTCCCTCTCGACTGATTCATCCCCATCATCTCATAAATATACAATTGTATCTTCATTCTTAAACATCAGACTCCCTTTGAGCTAACTTCCCCATTTCTCTGCTCCCCTGAACACCAACATTTCTGAAAAGATCGTCAGAATCCATTCCTGGCCTTTCTGTCTCCCTATATCCCCACTCCTGGCACCGTCATACTCACCACCCCACAGAAATAGCTGTTGTCAGTTATATATAATTCATCATTGTTATATCAGATGGCCAATTCTCAGTTCTCTTCTCACCTGACCTTTAAAAGCAGCGTCTGACCCAGTTAACCACCCTCTCCCTCTTAGATACTTGTTCCCTTGGCTTCTCAAACACTTGATTGTCCTCCCACTTCACTGGCTACAGTAGCTCCTTCTTATCTCCTTTGCTGGTTCCTCTTCCTCTCCTGAACCTCTAAACATTGAAGAGCTCCAAGGTACAACCTTGAACCTTTCCTCATCTTTACCAATATTAGTTAGTGAATGCATCTGGCCCCAGGGTTTAGAGACCATCTACATGTTGACAACTGCTAAATTTATATCTTGAGCTAGAGATTCTTCCTCTGAATGCCAGACTCTTGCCTCCAGCTGCTATTCTGAGTCTCCATTTAGATGCTAACGGGAATCTCAGACCTTACATATTTAAACAAAACAGCTGATCCCCATCATTTAGCTCTATGTGCAAATGCATCTCCTTCCTCACTACCACCAGGCCTGCAGGGGAGGACGGTTAGGGGCAAGTGATGGTATTGAGGAAGGAGAAACATTTGAGCATAGAGCTAAATGATGTGAAGGTACAACAAATCATTTGAAATTTCTGAGGGAAAAGCAGTCCTAGCAGAAAAAAAGTAAGTGTAAAGGCCAAGGTAGGAATGAGCTTGTCTTTAGGTAGAAACATGAAGGCAGGCTGTGTGGCTGAAACAGCCAACTGTGTTGGAGAGTTGAGATCAAGGCTGTCAGCAACTGCATTACTCAGGACCTTATAAACCACTGTACTTGAATTTTACTCCCAGTATGAGGGGAAGCCATGGGAGAGCTTTAAGCAAGAAGAGTACCCAATCTGATTAAAACAATACATTGGTTGCTTTGTGACTAGTAGGTGATGGGGTGACAATGTGGAAGCCACCTGACCAGTGAGTGGCAGGCTGTGTGGAAATCCATGCAAAAGAAGGGACGGGATTCGAATGGCATCAGTGGAGTGGGGAATTGTATAAAGTTTGAGGTTGGAATGACAAGATTTGCTTATGTTTTTGGTAGGGGCCTAAAAGGAAAAGAGATCCAAAAGAAATGTCTGATTTTGCGCTGAAATCCGAAGTCCATCCAGGCACATTTATTTTTGTCCTTGGATGTATCCTATTTCCATTATGTCCAAAGATCCTTTAGGCAGCTAGTGGCTTAGTTGTTGGGGGGAAATGAAGAGAATCCCATACAGAACGGGAGAATATTTGAGGAAGAGCAACAGTGCATTCAGTTTTTGAAGTGTTGAGATAGAAAGATCTGTGGAGATGGCCTAGGACTATGGTCGACAAATCGCGAGAGCCACAGGCGGCTCTTTGGCCCCTTGAGTGTGGCTCTTCCACAAAACACCACAGCCTGGACGAGTCTATTTTGAAGAATGGCTTTAGAAGTTTAAGTTTAAAAAAATGTGGCTCTCAAAAGAAATTTCAGTCGGTGTGCTGTTGACTAATGAGTTTGCCGACCACTGGGCTAGACCTCTTAAGGGAAGGGTCTGGCCTGGACAATGCTCGTTTGTTCTATTATAACCAACACACCATTCCCTCTTCCAGTTCCAGGTCTGGAAATCTACTTGTCCCCGGCGACGTGGCGGCGGGGTCCTCAGGGGTCGCCAGCAAGAGCTCTGGGTCCTAAACGGGAGCGCTCATTTCACGGGAAATACTGCAGACAGCGACGCCAAGGTTCTCCCCCACCCGCGGCCCGCCGGCCCGGCCCTGACCACGCCCCTTTCCCCCGCGCCCGGCACCCCCTCCCTCCCGCCCCCCACAGGCCCGGGAACGAAACCCACGCAGGCCCCCTAGCGCCCGCCCAGCGCAGCCCCGCGCGGGAGCGGAGCGCGCGCCTCCAGGCGCGGCCCCACGACCGCTCGCGGCCCCGCTCCGCCCGCCGCCGCTTTCCCGCGGAGGCGCCGCCGGCCCCGCCCCCCGTGCGCGCGCGCCAGCCCCGGCCCGCGCCCTGATTGGCCGCTGCATTCCCGCTTTCTTGCCCGAACCGCCATTTTGAAAATCTTGTTGATTCTGGGGAGCGGGGAGCGCGGCGCGAGCGCCGCCAGACAGCGTCCGCGCGCCCTCTGCTCCGTGCCCGCCGCCGCCGCCGCCCAGAGCGCCCCCGTGCCCACGCGCGCCCGGCCCGCGGCGGCCGGACCCCTGGTGAGGGCTGCACCGGGGCGGGGGGCCGGAGGGTTCCGTGGGGCCCGCCCGGCCGCCGCGGCCTTGGACAGCGGCCTGGGGCGGGGGGAGGGGACGCGGCGCGGCCGGAGGGGAGAGGGTGGGAGGGGCGGCTCGCCCCGCGGTTCCCGCTTCAGGGGATCCCGGGCCGCGGGCGGAGTGGGAGGGCCGGCCCGGGGGAGGGAGCGCCGTTGTCCGGCTCCCGGAGGGGCAGCTGCGGGGGGCGGGGGGCGGGGAGGAGGGTGTCCCGCGGCCCCGGGTCCTGGGCCCTGAGGGGCGGGGGGTCGGGACCGCCCGTCCCTCCCGCCGGAGGCGCGGAGACCGAGGCGCCCGCGTCCTCCCGCCCGCAGGCCGCCAGCATGTCGTCCCCGGGCCCTGCGGCGGCGGAGGGAGAGGGAACCCCCGAGCAGCCCGCGGCCGAGAAGGAGCCCGAAATCCCTGGCCCGAAGGAGGAAAGCGAGGAGGAGGAGGAGGAGGAAGACGACGACGAGGAGGACGAGGACGAGGAAGAGGAGAAAGGTGGGCAGCCCCTGTCCCTGAGGGATGGGTTTTGCAGGAAATAAGATTTCTGGCTCTTTGGCGCTCAGAGGCACTACATTGGCGTGTCCGGCCAGAAAGCGAAATCTCGCCTCTGGCTTTGTGTTGAGCAACCGCAGAGGCTTCACTTGGTGGATCCCGGTTTTTATCAAACACACTGTTGGTGTTGTGAGTGTGCACTGTGGGGTGCAGTTGACGCCCCAGCATCAGAATGCTTTCGTAAGGTTTCTGCCCTCGGGCTGGAAGTTTGGAAGTTTCAGACCTGTTTTTAAAACTCGTAGCCTTTTATGTCAATAAGGTATTGTTTTGTTTTTAAATCTGTTGCCTTTTGAGGCTATTGTAAAGTCCGGAGTGAAGTGACTCACACCGAGCTGAAGGTTAGTCCTGGGCCCGTTTAATCCGTTTGCTGAGTTTCTAAGGCCTCGGGGCGTTCCTCTCGCGGAGAAACTGGTGACGGGGCAGCTGTTGCTCCTTGAGAAAGTGGTTGCGAGTGAAAGCACTGAGCTCTGAGCTGCGGAAGAAAGTGAAATGGGAGCTCAGCGCCGCCTGGGTTTCGGTGTTGAGGGAGAACATCCGTCACCGTTTGACGGGAGGCGTGAAACCGGAGAACCTGGGGGGCTGAGGAGAGGCGCTGGCTGCATCAGCTCATCCAGAGGAGAGGAGGCAGCGCCCAGGAAACCTCCAGCCACCCGAACAGCCCAGCGAGAGATCTTCACAGTCTGAGATGCTGTCGGCCCAGTCTGGGTTCCACATGTGGCTACGACGCAGCCACGCTGGGGGAGACGTACACGTGAAGTGTTTTAAAAAAAAGCAGGTTTAACTCTTCATTTCTTTCAAGCCAAAACCAGTCAGTCCACATTCAGCGTTTTATAAGTACAGTCTGGGTTGAGGGGTTGCCTTCTGTTTGTTTAAAGTGGTAAGTGCTCTAAGAAGGGAGCATGTTCACATTTAGGGAAAAAATGTTATTTTGTTAACTATGCATAGTCCCCATAACAGAATGGGCTGTAATATCTACCGTCCAAGATTTTCTCAGCACTTTTTCCTCCAGCTCTTTTTTTGTTTTGTTTTTAGTCTTTTATTTTTTAGGGGTTTTTTTTGGTTTGTTTGTTTTATTGATTTCAGAGAGGAAGGAAAAGGGGGAGAGAGTTATTTGAAACATCAGTGATGAGAGAGAATCATTGATAGGCTGCCTCCTGCACGCCCCCAGCTGGGGATCCAGCCAGGCAACCTGGGCATGTGCCCTTGCCCCGAATCAAACCCGATACCCTTCAGTCTGCATGCTATGCTCTGAGCCAACCAGCAAGGGCTTGTTTTTAGTCTTTTTTAAAAACAGGGTTTGGGCCTTAGCCAGTTTCACTCAGTGGATGGAGGGTTGGCCTGTGGACTGAGGTGTCCTGGGTTCGATTCCATTTAAGGGCGTGTACCTTAGTTGTGTGCACATCCCCAGTGGGAGGTGTGCAGGAGGCAGCTGATGGATGTTTCTCTCTCATCAATGTTTCTAACTTTGTCTCTCCCTGTTAAAAAAAAAAAAAAAAATCAATAAAATATACTTAAAAAATAAAATGAACAAGATATAGATGCCACAGAGATCATGAATTTCAACATGAAAATTTAAAAATATATATTCCCAAGTAGTTCTGATTTATTATTCCTCAACTTAGGTCTCAATGGAACAACTAAAATTTCAGACGTTTTTATCCTACTTAGCCCTGAAAATTTAAGTATCCTACTGAGGCATAAAAAAAGGCAATGAAGTCTGTACCAAATAAGGGATTTATTGACTTTTAGCAATAGTTTTCTTGGCAGGACTTGAGGGGAATGCCTAGTAAAAGATGATTCCTAGATTTCTATCTTTGGCATCTGTATGGATAATGTTACCATTTTCTGGAAAATAGAATTCATGAAGGTGAGTGAGTTTGGAGATGATTATGACTTCTATTTTTGATCCATTTAGTGAGGTGTCTATAGGACAAGAAGTAGAGCTGTCCAGTGGCAGCCCAGTTAGTTGAAGCTGGGGGAAAAACTCTGGACTTGAGATAGACCAGAAAAATTATTAGCTTATACATGGTATTTAACTCAAATCTAATGGTTTAAATCACTCAAAGAAAGAAAGTAGGGTAACAGGAGTTGCTTTTTGGGTGCTTTCCTTTCTGTATACCATCGCCAGAATTTACCTGCTGGAATCCTCTTTTCCTAATACTTTCTGTGCAAATCCTTTTGATTTGTTAAAATCTTTATTGTTGAAAGTATTACATATGCCCCCTTTTTCTCCCATTGACCTTTTAGCCCCCTTGCCCCAGGCTTTTACCACACTTTTGCCTGTGTCCATGGGTTATGCATACAAGTTCTTGTTAATCTCTTCCCTCCCACCTGAGATTTGACAGTCTATTCCATGCTTCTATGTGCAAATCCTTACATTTCCAAATCTTAACTGTCCTTCAAAGCCAGTTCCAATGTTTTGATCCTCATTGGATTCCTAATCCAAAGATATTCTTTCCTCAACTCTCAGAATTGTTTGTGTCTTTATTAAAAGTGTCCTGGCCCTGACTGGTTTGGCTCAGTGGATAGAGCGTCGGCCTGTGTACTGAAGAGTCCCAGGTTCGATTTCCGTCAAGGGCATGCACCTTGGTTGTGGGCATCCCCATCGTGGGTGTGTGCAGGAGGTGGCTGATTGATGTTTCTAATTCTCTATCCCTCTCCTTTCCTCTCTGTAAAAAAAAACAAAAACAAAAACAATAAAATATATATTTTTAAAAAAGTGTTCTGTCATCATCTACTTTTGAGTATGGTATTTGTGTCTCATTCTCTTCTTCCTCGTTCTCTCTCCCCCAAGCATGATCTTCTAAAAGATAGTCACTGTCATAATCATCTACTCAACCTTCCCTTGTAGCTAATACAGTTTTACACAAAATAAGCATTCAGATCAATGACTGGAAAGATTGCCAAATTATAGTATGGGGTCCTCTTATTTATCTGACTTGATCTCAGTCAGGTAAGTGGTTTTAGAAAAGCCAGCCTAGTGTTTTACATTTTAAAGTATATGTTCTCTATTGGACTAGACAGAATTCAACATTTTGGGATGATTTATGATCCCAATTATGAACATCATTTATTAAACTACAAAGTAATGCCCTCCCACTTGTTTGTATTAAATGTAAACTTGTAGAATTTTACCCTATCCATAGTAACTCCAGGCTGCTTTGTCATAAGGTCCTTTGTTTTCTTTTCTGACAATCAACTAAATTGTTGCTTTTCTGTATATCTTTTAAGTTTTTATAATCTTGTCTAAGCAGTTTTCTGTGATATAAGTTGAATTTCAGTTATTTCCTATATATTTATACAATAATAGAATTATGTCTAATTAAGGAATAGGCTAAGTGAGGACCTTGGCAATTTTTTACAGTGACTGGACTTGGATAGCAATAATTATAGTTGAATATAAATTTGTTTGCTTTCTGATTTTTTAAAATATTGGATCCCCTGTGAGATGGTTAAGTTAGTATAATATTACTCAAAAATTTGGTGTTGCTGTTAACTGATAAAGTATTTTCATCTGTTAATGTTATATTCTCAAAAATCCTATTAAGGAGAAGAGTATGGTATTAAGTTTCTGTGATTATTTCCTATATATTTATACAATAGTTAATATATTTCAACTTGTTAATCAAGAGGTATTAATTTCTAGAAAAGAGTCTCATCGTGGAAGGCAAGAGGGAAAAGAAAAAAGTAGAGAGGTTGACAATGCAAGTCTCTTCTTTACAAAGAGAGCCATTTACAATTGCACAAGGTAAGTTTATTCTGTGTTCTTTCATTTTATGATGAAAATGCCTAAATAAAAAATGATGATTAGCTGTGCTTAGTTTTTAGTGTTTACTAAGTAGTAATATAGCATTGTTATTATTTTATTTAATTTGCCATAGTAAAGCAAAAGTTATGTAAATTATGTTATAAAAATATTTTTCATTAAGTTTGCAAGTGCATTAACACATAATGGTATTTAACTTTAATTATTATGTGTGTGTTTTTTTCTAGGAAAGGGGCAGAAACTGTGTGAAATTGAAAGGATACATTATTTTCTGAGTAAGAAGAAAACAGATGAACTTAGAAATCTACATAAACTACTTTACAACAGACCAGGCACAGTAAGACCTTTTTATACCTTTAACCTAGTAGCATGTTTATGTATTTAAAATACTTTACAATAGAAGCAAATTTTAGTCCTAGAAAGGACTTTTAGCCAATAGCTAGTTTAATTTCCATACCATAAAAGTGAACAAACTGAGACACATGTTTTCTAAATGATTTATCACAGGATACATAGCTGGATACTAGCAATTAGGATTGCAATACTGAACTTGTTTTTATGCCTTTCTGAATGTCAGATTGTGATGATTTTAGTGGGTTTTTTAATTGTATAATATAAGAAATTTTTTTTGGATTTTTTTTTTTAAATTATCCAGAATAAAAAGTATAATTATATATCTTTTTGAGCAAATAACTGATAAATTAGTTGGTACTTCTTTTCCAATAGATTTCTTCAAATCAGTGTTTCATTTACTGAGTTATTTTACTGTAGTCACCTCTTATCTGCATGGGATGCATTCCAAGACAGTGGTTGCCAACCTTTCGGACTTCATGGTCCATCAGTGGTTCACGGACCACCAGTTGGCAACAGCTGCTCCAAGACCCCTAGTAATTCCTGAAACCAAGGATAGTATTGGACCTATGCATATATACCTATGATAAAGTTTAATTTCTAAAGTACACACAATAAGAGTTTAACCCTAAGCAGTAATGAAGTAGAACAATTATAACAATACAAGAGGCCCGGTGCACAAAATTCATGCACGGGTAGGGTCCCTAGGCCTGACTGGTGATCAGGGCCAATCAAGTCCTTCCCCCTGCTGCCAGCTTGGGCTTTCCTTGGTGTCAGCGCATGTCATAGGAGTCTGTCGAACTCCCCAAGGGAACGATTTGGTTATTAGCCTTTTATTATATAGGATAGGATACTGTAATAAAAGTTATGTGAATGTGGTGTCTCAAAAATATCTTATACGGTACTATGATACATTATTCACCTTTTCATGTAAAGGAAGCACTTTATGGCTTCTCTTTAGTATGTCTGAATTGCCAACATCACTCTTCTAGTGCTTTGGGGGCCATCCTATGTAATCCTATATATTAAAAGGCTAATAGGCAAATCAACCGAATGGCGGAATGACCGGTTGCTAAGACGCACACTGACCACCAGGGGTCAGTGCATTCCCACAGGGGAAGCACCACAGTGAGCCGGGCTCATGACAGTGGCAGTGATGAGAGAGGAACTAAACATCCGCCAAGGGGTCCAAGACTGTGAGAGAGCACAGGCAAGGCTTAGGGGATACCCTCCAACCCCCACCGCTCATAGGTCATGCACAGGGCATCTAGTTAATAAATAAAATAAGGATTATTTGAATGCAAGCACCGAGATAACACCACTGTTCATCTGAGCCAACTACTGTGTTTCCCTGAAAATAAGACATCCTCCAAAAATAAGACCTACTTACAGGTTTCCTTCTGAGTGAAATATAAGGCGCCCCCCGAAAATAAGGCCCCCCTAGGCTAAACATGAGAGATTTGGTCCACTGATTCTGAAAGAAATGGAGTCACAAGAAATTCACCAGGAAATTCAGGAATTGGATTGTTATGATGATGTTCCAGATGATGACATGATTGTCATTGAATAAATGAGTAAATTCTTGATACTGTAGGATTCACAGTTTGTCTGATTTATGTTGATAACTACCGTATTACCTTACTGTATACAGGTAATAAATTTCCTTTATTTTCATTTAACAATAAATGTGTACCATATTCTTCTTCATGGAAAAATAAGACATCCCCTGAAAATAAGACCTAGTGCATCTTTGGAAGCAAAAATTAATATATGACACTGTCTTATTTTCGGGAAAACAGGGTACTAAGTGACTGATAGGCAGGGAACATATATAGTAATCCTCCCTTATTTATTTTATTTTTTTTGTGTGGATTTCTTTTTTATTTTTTTAATTTGTCCAAAATCAAAATTTATACACACACACACACACACACTATATATATATAATTTTGTATCCTGATACATTGCCAAGTTCATTTATTAAGTCTAGTAGTTTTTTGATGGAGTTTTTAGGGTTTTCTATGTATAGTATCAAGTCATCTGCGAATAAGGACACAGTTTTACTTCTTCTTTTCCAATTTGGATGCTTTTATTTCTTCTCGTCTGATTGCTATAGCTAGCACTTCCAGTACTATATTGAACAGGAGTGGAGAAAGTGGGCATCCCTGTCTTGTTTCTGTTCTCAGGGGAAATGAGTTTAGTTTTTGCCCTTTGAGTATGATGTTGGCTGTAGGTCTGTCATACAAAGCTTTTATTATGTTGAGGTATGATCCCTCTACCCCCACTTTGCTGAGAGTTTTTATTAAGAAAGGGTGTTGGATTTGATTAAATGCTTTTCTGCATTGATTGATATGATTATGTGATTTTTCTCTCAATTTGTTTATGTGATATATTTATTGATTTGCGGATATTGTATCATCCTTGCATCCCTGGAATAAGACCCACTTGGTCATGGTATATGATCTTTCTAATGTAATGCTGAATCAGATTTGCTAGAATTTTGTTGGGGATTTTAGCATCTGTGTTCATCAAGGATATTGGCCTGTAATTCTCTTTTTGTGGTGTCTTTATCTGGTTTTGGGATTCAGGTAATGCTGATACCTCTTAAATTTTTTTGAATAGTCTGAGGAGGATAGGTTTTAGTTCTTCTTTGAATGCTTGGTAGAACTCCCCTATAAAGCCATCCAGACCAAGGCTTTTGTTTGCTGATTTTTAATCGTTGCTTTAATTTCTTTGGTAGTTATTAGTTTTTTTTTTATTTTTCCTGATTGAGTTTTGGGAGCTTGTATTTTTCTAAGAATATGACCATTTCATCTAGGTTATCCATTTTGTTGGAATATAGTTGTTCATAGTATTTTTTCATAATCGTTTTTCTGTGGGTTTGATTGTTACTTCACCCCTTTCATTTCGGATTTTGTTTATTTGGGTGCTCTTTCTTTGCTTCTTGGTGAGCCTGGCTGGAGGTTCATCAATCTTGTTTATTCTTTCAAAGAACCAGCTCTTGAGATCTTTTGTATGTTTGTTTTTGTTTTGTTTTTTCTTTATGTCATTTATTTCACTCTGATCTTTATTATTTTCTTCCATATGCTTACACTGGGCTGTTCTTGTTGCTCTCTAACTCTTTGAGTTGTAGGGTTAGATAATTTATTCACATTCTCATTTTCAAAAAATTATCTTTATAAGCCTTTTATAATGGACCTGGAGATTATTATACTAAATGAAAAAAGCCAGTAAAAGACAAATATCACATGATCTCTCTTATGCAGAATCTAATGAACAAAGTAAACTGATGAACAAAATAAGTCCAGAGACATGAATTCATGGAACAGACTGATAGATGTCAGAGAGAAGGGAGATAGGGGAGGAAAGAGAATGGCTTAACCAAAGAACTTATACATTGTATGCATGGCTCATGGACACAGACAGTGGTGAAGGCCTGGAGTGGGTTGGGTTCTGGATGGAGGGGAATAAAGGGGGAAAATAGAGGACATCTAAAATATTGTCAATAATACAAATAAACTTTAATAATTATGTATATAATATTTTAGTAATAAGTATAGTTTTCAATTGTGAATAAGAAATTTTGCATAAACCAGTTTTGTAGCTTAGAGACAGATGTGAAAATAAAGATGCAGGCTTGAACTTTTTCTTGTGTACATTACTGGGTAATAAGTAGTAATAATAAGAGAAACATTTTCAGGTTTCCTCATTGAAGAAGAATGTGGGTCAATTCAGTGGCTTTCCATTTGAAAAAGGAAGTACCCAATATAAAAAGAAGGAAGAAATGTTGAAAAAGTAAGTTATTTTTTATAAATATTATGTTTTGATCAATGTGGTTTTTGAAAATATATTTATTGATTTCAGAGAGGAAGGGAGTGGGGAAGAGATAAAGGAACATCAAGGATTAGAGAGAATCATTGATCTCAGCTGCCTCCTGCACACCTCACACTGGGGACCCAGGCTTTTATTATGCCCTGACCAGCAATCAAACCTCCTGATTCATAGATCAATGCTCAACCACTCACTCACACTGGCTGGGCTGATCTATGTGCTTTACATTTTATTTTTAAATATTTAATGTGGCCACACATACGTAGACTGCGAATTCTTTGCTTTAAATGCTTGGATCTGATTTGTCTTCATAACCATTAACTTAGGATCTTCATTAGTTTTCAATAAATAATGGGTATCAAGATTATTGAAAATGCAAAGATGATTTTATTTCTTGGAAGAACAATATACACAGGCAAATCATTCACAGTCAAAATTTCAAAAAGTCTAAAGGGAATATAGTGAACACTATTCTCTCACTCTTGTTCTGTCAGCCACTCTGTTCCTCCACTTATAGGTACTATTTAATTGTCTTGAAGATAACTTTGATAGAAACAATGTCCTTCACCATAATGCAAGCAAGATGATATATGAGAGTTTTTATTTATTAAATTCCCTGTAGCTTAAAAACTCTAATCCTCTTCCTCCATATTGCCTATGGAGGTGGCAGCCATCTCCTATTTGTCATCCTTGGCTGCACTCAGACCTCTCATAAAACCAAAGATTATCAAAAAGAAGTTCATCAGGCACCAGTCAGACCAATATATCAAAATTAAGCAGAATTGACGGAAACCCAGAGACATTGACAATAAAAAGATTCAAGGGCCAGATCTTAATGCCCAGTAACAGAGCACATGCTGCCCAGTGGCTTTCGGAAGTCTTTGGTCCACAATGGCAAGGAGCTTGAAGTGCTGCTGATGTGCAGCAAACCTTACTGTGCTGAAATTGCTCACAGCGTCTCCTCAAAGAATGGCAAAGCCATTGTATTGTGGAAGGAGAAGCTCAGTTGGCCATCAGAGCCACCAGTTTCAATGCTAAGCTGCACAGCGAAGAAAAGGAATAGACAGATTGTGTACACGTTTTATTTGTGTTAATAAAATAACAAAATTCTGGCATTAAAAAAAGGAATTATTTATTATCTTTTCCTTCCTTAAAACATTATATAGTAGGAATGTTAAGAGGAAAATGTAATATTTAGTCACAATCAGCAGCCGAGAAGAATGATCACGTTCATGAATATTATAGTATTGAAACTTTTTACATTATTTCCTAATGAATTAACTTAGGTATGTTTTTACTATATTTAGAATTTAATTGGTAATGCTGTTTTCAATTTTTAATACTCTATAATCTGGTTGTGTTTGTACACTAATCAAAAATTATTAGGAGTACTTCTAAGATTCAGAGAAATGTTAGCTAAATGTTTGTAGCCTAGCAGTTTGGTTAGCTATTGCGTTTATATTGTGGAGACATTTATAAACTTTCCTACATAATCACCTTGGTTTCTTTTATTTTCTTTTTCAGATTTAGAAATGCCATGTTAAAAAGCATCTGTGAGGTTCTTGATTTGGAGAGATCAGGTGTAAATAGTGAACTGGTGAAGAGGATCTTGAACTTCTTAATGAATCCAAAGCCTTCTGGCAAAGTGAGGACCAATTTGTATAATTTTAGTAACAAATCAATTATTTACAGCCTCTCTTTTTTAATTATTCTTTTAAAAATGGTGGTCCATGAAAAAAGTAGCTATCTTAGGTCATAGTTCAATAGTGCAAGCTTATTTCTTGAGAAAACCAGTGAATTTCAATTTGTAGCCAAAGTTATTCTGTTGGTACCTCCCATTTTGTTACACAGATATTTTAAAAACATGTACTCAAAAGTTTAGAGTAAATACAGTTAGTATTTACTGCTTCATCAGAGACACCTTAAATGAAACACCTTTTCCCTCCTGATAGTGGGTGATTGTAAGGAATATGACTAGCAAGGTTTGCTGCCTCTGCTTAATTAGTAAGTACTAAGATGACAATTGTTTTACCTTTGCTTTTCCATAATCAGTGAAAGAGCTAATAAATGTCTTGGTATTAGAAAAATAGGTTTGACCTGCAGGCTTCTGAAAATTTCTCATGAAACCCCAGGATCCATGAACCACACTTTTGAGAAGCACTTCCTTGGGGTTTCCTTGGGGTGTAGGGCAGCCTGGGTGAGGGGCCTGTTGTGGTTTGTAGGCCAGCCATGCCCCTCCAGTAACCCAAGAGGAGACATTGGTATCTGGGATTTATTTATCTTATATAATTGAAACTTTGTAGCATTGAGCAGAGGCCAGGGCGGACAGAAAGCTTGGCTTTCTCCATCGCTGGGGAAACCTAAGCCTTCTATTCTCTCCAGTCTGTGGCTGCTACCATTTTTGTTGGGATTTATTTATCTTCTATAATTGAAACTTTGTAGCCTTAAGTGGAGTCCAGGGCTAGCCATTGTATGTAGGGAGCTTGGCTTCCTCCATTGCTGGGGAAATCCAAGCCTCCTGCTCCCTCTGTGGCAGCGACCATCTTGGTTGGGTTAATTTGCACACCCATTCTGATTAGCTGGTGGGTGTGGGTTGTATTTATAGCGGAGATACGGAAAATTTGCATATTACTCTTTTGTTAGATAGGCTGTATCTTGAGGTTATGTTATGGCATTTTTCTTTATGTGTCTGTTTATTGCAGAAAATAACAGGTGAAAACAAAAACAAAAGATACGTATAATTTTCAGAAATAAGTAATTTTTAAAAGATAAGTTTATCTTTTCACATTCATTTGCAGGATTTATGGTTTTCAATTTTAGAAGTTAGCAAATTCTCCCCTAAGAAAGCACTTAAAAGTTAAATTTGTTGGTTAATATAATAATTTTCTTCACATGATCTTTTCTTTTTAAATGTGTGTGCTTTAATTGAATGTCAGAGTAAGAGCAATGCATTGATTATGTGGTTCTTAATTTATCAATTAACACATTCAGTATTTATTACATATTTACAATCATTTGAGAATATAATACATTATGAAAAGTAGAGCCCAGAAGTAATATGAATATAAACTACATAGTTCATAAATTCAGGGTGTATTAATGGATGATTCTTCCCAGTCCTTTCATTTGAGGGTCCCCTAAAATAGGAACCTTCTTTGACAGCAGTTGATGTTTATAGGAAGGAAATACTAGTAAATTACAATATTCAAAGTATTATCTTGATAAAGTGTAAATAACTGTTTGAGCTTAACGTGGTGTATATTTGGGCTTCTAGTCCCATGTCAAATCATAGAATACATATTTAAACATTTGTGAAGAGTCTCTTGCATAGGTATTTATATACAAATGAAAGGTATTGGTAGTACAGACAAAAAAAAAGATTAATTTGACACATTGTTGAAGATGAATTATTCTCTAAAGCTGCTAATCTTGAAAATATACCTTGAGACAAACAAGAATTGAGTTGAGAAGTAGGTCTCAGAAATAGTTGATTGACTTGGAAATATAATACCTCACTGGTGTTTATTTTATTTTATGCAGCCACTGCCAAAATCTAAAAAAACTTCTAGCAAAGGCAACAAAAAGGAAAGGAACAGTTCTGGAATGGCAAGGAAAGCAAAGCGAACCAAATGTCCTGAAATTCTGTCAGATGAATCTAGCAGTGATGAAGATGAAAAGAAAAACAAAGAAGAGTCTTCAGAGGATGAAGATAAAGAAAGTGAAGAGGAGGTAAAATTTTAGCTTTTTGTTTTTTCATTTCTTTTTCTGGGGAGAGTTAAATATTTCTGCTATATAATAGGTATAGCCAGAAAACAGATTTTAGGAACCACCAGTTCTGAAGACATGTAGTTTAGTTTAAACCCTTTCTTTCCCTTAATAAGCTTTTAGTTTTGCTGACATGCCAGAGTATAAAAGTTGGAAAAGAGTGAGGTTGGTGTGGAATTGAATTTTAGCCTGGGCCTTGACTAGAGTAGGTCAAATGGGAAGGGAAGGCACTGGGGAGGGGTATGTATCCTGAACAGAAACACAAAGAGCAGATTTTTTTGAGAATTTTCTTTTAAGTATATTAATATATTAAGATCTTGAATCATTTTATTCTGTTTTATACAAAAAAAACAGGGGTTTAAGGACCACCATTTTTTTTTTCTCAGCTTGTTGAGGATTATTTAATGAGAATAACAGGATTTGAAGTTTGATTGTTGGGCATAATTTGTATCACTCAGGAATGCCTGCCACTTTCCTTTACTTATAAATCTTAGTAAATGTTGAATATTATTAGTTTTCAAAGTGAAACTTTAGTAAGGGAAGAGATGTTGAACCATTTATAGGGTTAACTTTGCACATTCCTTTTTGTGTATCTTCAAGTAGATGGGAAATAGATTTTCTATTATTGTTAATACCCTTTTTCATAGTCTCTTCACTGGTCAGAACTTGCTCTATAAGTTGGGTAATGTACTTGGTTTTAGTTGATACTTGATGAGGCTTGATATTTTGGGCCAAAATGATTCTTCATTGAAGAAGACTGTCTTATGTATTATAGAACTTTGCCCACTAGGTGCCAGTAGCATACTTCCCCAATGTCCAGTTGTGAAAACCAAAAATGTCTCCAGACATTGCCAACTGTCTCCTGGGCGGGGGGCAAAATTACTTCCAGTTGATTCTAGAGGGAGTAAGGATGTTGTGAACTCTGGTCTTATGTGTGAGTGTCTTGTATAAATTTGCCTTTAAGTATTTAAAATCCATACTTGTTTTAATGTTAAATTTTATAAAGACTTCAATAAAGCTAAGTTTGAAAAGCATAATTCAAAGAATATTACAAAGCTTGCAGGTGTTATATATGACTAAGTTGACTCACACATGCGCTATACATATAAAGCTGTTGTCTCCAGTCGCGCGTGTGTGTTTCGATCTGTCATTGTCGATGGTGAATTTGGTTGACACTTCTATTATAGAGAAAGGTGCGAATAGCAATATTAAAATTTTCTAATTAATTGCCAATGTGCACAAATCCATGCACCAGGACACTAGTCTTAATATATTTTTGGTGTAAAGCAAGATGAGTAATCTGAGCATTAAGGTTTTTTATGATTGATTTTAGAAAAGTCTGGAAGGAAAACATTTGTTTATATTTGAATATACAATAATGCCAATTTTGCGGTAATAGTGTTATTCATTTAACAAATTTTTGGATATCTACTTTAACCAACTGTCTGTGAAGCATTTCCTGTGCCTTATCTCATTTGATCCTCACAGAATTCCTGGAGTAGGTAGATAGGAGACTCAGTATAATCTTGTGTGGGTTTTTTTTTTCATTAGACAGAAAATGGAGATTTAGAAAGCTTAGAAACTTGACCCGAATAAAATGGAGTAAGAAATGGTGGGCCTTAAAAATGACTTCAGATTTTCTCACTGCACAGAATATAGTCAAACACTGCTACAATTAAATATTTTACCTTTTCTTCTCCCTATGAGATCTGCAATAATAATCTACTTCATGTTGATATTTGCTGTGTTGCTTACAATTACCTAAAAAAGTTAGGATGCTTTACTGGGCTGGAAAAAGTTTAGCTACTAATAACTCAGAAAGCAAGTTTAATTAAGCAAGTTTAATTATATATATAAAAGCTAAGTTGACTTGCACATAAGCAATACATATAAAGCTCTCGCTGGTGTCAATTGTACGGTGTGTTTTAATCTGTCGATTGTGAATTTGGTTGACACAGAGAAAGGATAAAAAGCAATATTAAAATATTTCTTCTAATTTCCTTTCATTGTACACGAATTCATGCACTGGGCCTCTAGCTGTTTTTTAAACTTCTTTATCATCTCAGTTCTGAACCATTTGCAAAAGAGCAATTTTGGAATCAGGAAGAACTGGTAGATGAAATGATGGGTTTTTTTGGTTTTGTTTTTCTGTAAACTTACTCTGAAAATGAACTGGTTCCCATATCGGATTAGCATCTTTAGGGAATTCTGCTAAAATGAACCAGTGAGATTAAATCATATTCAGGCAGGCCTTTCACAGATATTAAGTGTTAGGCACAGAGAAATCACTGGAGAGTACAGAGAAAAGGGAGAAGCAGTGCTTCCCAGGTTGGAGAAAATGAGTATTAGAAATTTTTTAGACCCTTAAAGCATATATTTTTTCTTCATTTTATCTATTCTGTAGTTTCTTATTCCCTAGTGTTTTTCTAACACTCTTATCCCTAGAAATAGTATTAAACTGGATTTTTACTTTGTGAATATTGAGAGTGTATCTGAATATTCTAATATGAGTGAGGAATGTCTTTAGCTATACTTAAAAAACCTCACTAATATGTCCAAAATAGAAGTTTATTTTTCTTTCATGGCAGGAAGTCCACAAATAAGCAGTTCTTGGCCAGTATACCGTCTTCAAGATAAAGGTATCAAGAATTGGGGTACCATTTTTCTTATTGAGCCATCATCTTTATATGTGGCATTTAACCTCCCTATATAATAAAAGGCCAGAGGCATCACAACCGGAACAACCAGAGACTAGACCACCATAGCCCCTTGCATGGCTGGCCTCACCCCCAAGCAAACAGTTAGGGGCAATCAGGCAGGCAGAGTGGTTAGGGGTATCAGGTAGGCAGGCCAGCAGTTAGGGGCGATCAGGTAGGCAGTCAGCCCCTTGCAGGGCTGGCCCTGTCCCCCAATAAAGAAAGAGGGTGGCCCAGGCCAGCCAAGCCATTGCACTCCAGTCTGTCACCTGCAGAGGGAGGCCACTGGTGGTGGGGAGGGGAGGTAGGGTGCAGTGCTGCACAGATGGCAAGCAGTGGCAGCGGTGGGGGTGGGGCCAGCTGCCTGTAGCCTGGGGAAGGAAAGCACCAATAGGCACTGATCTCAGGCCAGGCCTAGGAACTCTACCCGAGGGATCCCGGATTGTGAGAGGGTGCAGGCTGGGCTAAGGAACCCTCCCTCTCCCCCTCAAGTGCATGAATTTTCGTGCACCAGGCCTTGAGTATGATTATAAAATGGTTGTTTTACCTTTAGGCACTGTTTCTCTGTTCTAGATAGGAAAGAACAAAGAGCTTTCTTCTAGTGATTTTGGCTCCCCTCTGCCCCTGAAGGAATTCCTTTTACTAGAGATCTCCATGTATATCAAATTGTCCAGAACTTTTATATGTGGCCACCTCTAGCTGAAAGGAAAGCTATGAGATCCATGTGTTATTTTCCTGCTTCTATAGGAGAAAGGCAAATAAAAAGGGATGTTGAGTGAGGTCTTCTACAATGTTTGCCAAATAAGAGAAATTTTGCATTATAATTTTTGGTGAACATATATTTAGACCAAATACTGGGAAGTTGGTAAGAAGGTGAATGTGAAAGTTTTGTTAGTCCTTAATTATGTTCTTTAAAAAAAAAAAAGCAAGAATTGCCCGGCCAGTGGCTTAGGTGGTTGAGCATTGTCCTGTGCCCCAAATGTTGTTGGTTTGATGCCCATTCGGGGCACATACCTGGGTTGCAGGTTCAACCCCTAGTTGGTTCATTCATGGAAGGCAACCCAATTTCTCTCTTTCTCCCTTCCTCTCCCTAAGCTTGTTCTCAGGTGAGGATTAAAAATATAAAACAGAGAATTTCCGCATCTCATAATTTGATAAGAGGGGTTACAAAACCTTATAAACTATTAAGCCTTTTGTTGGAAGGCAAAGTTGAATAAGCACCGTAATAAAGTCTATTTAGACTTAAACTTGTTTTTATAATCTTTTGTGAAATATAACAAGACTTGCACATTCTTTACTCTTGGCCCTATTGAGCTTTCTCAGCCAAGTTGTTATAAGAATAGTGTATTTTAAGCTAATTTTAATTTTGTTCATCTGTTCACCCAGTACAACCTTTCTGCTGTGAGGACAGGATTCTGGCTCTGTGACAGGCGTCTTTTTGGAGACCCTTCTTCAAAGAGCCCTGCTGCCTATAAAAGATAGGTAAGCCTTCTCTCCCAAGATTTTTTTGTTTTGCCTTCCTTCAAAAAGTGCTCTTGTCGTTCCTCTAATTTTATACCTTCAAGGTTATCAGAGACATGGAAAACCCCTTCAATTTTTTAAAAAAATTATATTAATCTTTTAAAAATGTATAGTACATTGTACTATCTAAAATTAATGGTAGCTGTCAATTCTTACCTGTTTTCCTTGAGCACTTCAAAAATACCTACAATAATGGATGGTCCTGATTGAATCACTCAGCATATTCAAAAATAGCAAACCAGGATCTTAAAAATAAATCCATGACAATTTGGAAACTAACATTTCCTTCTTTTTGTTTTAAACTTAACCTAATTCTTTCCCATACATTTTGTTAAAAGACCCAAGTTTGGGTAATTTGCTAAGTGCTGTTGGCATTACAGAAGATACTTTCTAACCAAAATATAGTTTGAGTAATATAATTTGAGAAAAGAATCTGTTGATGAGGGGAACCTTTGGGGAGAAGTGGAAGAAGTACCAGTTGAAATGGAAGAAGTACCAGAATGGAAGAAGTATCTATTTCTTGGGAATAGAAAGCTCGACATGTGAACAAAGATGGGAGCAGGAAAGTACAGGGTACCTTTGACAAACACTCGCTTATGGTTAGATGCTATGTCCAGAAGTAAAGCAATGAGGTAAAGCTAGAGTAATGTAGGTTGAAGGCAGACTAAGAACTCATGAGGTTCGGCATTGTGTGAGTAATAAAACCTTTGGGGATAGATTCGTCCTCATCCATTAACAGTAATTGTC